TGATCTGCAGGTGGATCCATTTGTGAGGGAGAAGTTAAAAGTCGCGATAAGAATGTGATGATTTATATAAGTGAAGTGGGAGAAGTAATTAATAGAAAAGTTGTGGGAATGCAACAAAACAAGTTAAGCACTTCTGAAAAAAAAATTGATAAATGATTTCGGTAACACTCGCGGAATATAAACTAGTGAAAATTACAAACGAAATTGAATATATATAGTCTATGATGTTATGGTTATTGTGTATCTAACAAATGAAGAAGAAAATGAATATATATATTCTTTGAGCCGTAACCTTCTTCTTCAATTCACACACATATACGTATATGTTGCTGAAAATTATGACTTGTGTGCCTCATGCATTTAATGCATCACATGCCTACTACATATTCTTGACTTTGAAGCTACGTACCAGTTTCCAATTTCCCCAGTAGCACTCTTTTCATTAGAAAGTACTCCAAGTCTTCACACATGCAAATTATGACTTGTGTGTCGCTATAGGTATGTCGTTGGCCCTTGTTAAAAACCTATAGCGACAACAAGTCATCGTAATAGATTAAACCTGTGGTGACAACGAGTCGTCGCTATAGGTAACTAATAAAACTATATTTTAACCCCGAAGATATGATTGACAAAATCTATCCGACGAGACCCTCGTGATACCTCGTGACGAAATTGAAATCAACGAGAGTCTCCACTTCGTGGAAGAACCGGTAGAAATCATGGATCGAGAGATCAAAAGAACAAAGCAAAGCCGTATTCCCATTGTGAAGGTCCGCTGGAACGCTAAACGAGGACCCGAATTCATCTGGGAACGCGAGGATCAGATGAAACAAAAGTATCCACATCTCTTCCCAAACTCTCGAAATCCCAGTCAAAATGAAAATTTTGGGACGAAATTCCTTCTAACGGGGGGATGATGTGACAACCGTCAAATTTCGGTCAAGGAAAAGTCAAACTAAGTCAACAAGTCAAACCGGTCAACTCCCTTAACCCTTGTATGTTAGGGTTTACGTTATGTAATAATTGTACAATTCGCTACTTTAAGGAGAAAACATCATTTGGAAAATTCATGTGTTTGATTTTCCTTAGCCTTTACAGTGCTAAACAACATTGGAAATTTAATAAACCCTACTCAAGATTACTTGACGCTAATAGGATCAAAACCCATACACTACGATATAAATTGACGTTAATAGCAACATAGTATAGTACAACGTTATAACTATAATCCAATTAAATTATGATACCATATTAAAATCAAATCAAAGTATAATGCTCTAATTAAATTAAAAGAATCAAACTTGAATGCTATAATTAAACTTCAAATCAAAGTAGATTGTTATAATCAAATAATAACCTATCTTTTATAAAACTCTATTTTTATAAACTTTACATTAAATTTTATAAAACTCTTATATTAATTATGTAAAAGATGCTTGTGTTAGTGGGAAATTATGAAGACCACCAAAAGCAAAAAGATTATTCCCATGGTCTCCCACTCACACCTCCCATCCACTTTCCTTTCCTTTTTCTCCCAACATATTATTCTCTTCACCACTTAAACCTTCTCTATTCTTTCTCTCACTCTCAATCTCGAAATTCATCCAAGAAATACTCATATTCCAGCCAAGAACAATCTATTATACTCCAATCTTCATCCCTCTTGAAGCATTCAACAAGGTATGTTGTTAAAAGTTTCAAATTCATACAAGAAACAAATTAAATCCACCAAACTATCTAAAACTCATTTTATGCATAAACCTGATTTTTCTCAGAATCCCATCAATAAAATAAGAAGTTCTGGAAATTTTCAGAAAATAACTTATTTCTATTGAATTACTATAATTATTGCAATAAAGTAGGGCAATAATTCACATAAAATACTTTTTGCATTCAATAAATTCTGAGAAAATTCTGGGATGACTTATACATTGATTAAACATAATTTATGAAGTTTCATGCATTTATATTACTGTTTACTATTATTTATGATTTTATTGATTAATTAATAATGAAATATATAAAAAATACTTCCCATAGTCACAAATATCCGAAACTTATACAATGGGCTCTATATTATGTTATAAAACTATGGTTAATTTTACAGAATTTTTGGGAATCATTTATTATTTTTCCCGGATTTTGTTGTTGTTTAATCATTAAAGTATTAAATAAATACTAAAACAGTTCAGAAAAATATAAAAATTTTACAGTAATTATTATTGTATGAAATAATGATTTCCTAATAGTTTCATAATTTTTCAATACTATTTACTATTTAAAACCATTTTCCTAATTATTTAAGCATGTAAAAATGCATTTTAATGATTATTTCATACAAATAATTGTTAAAATCTGTAAATAATTATAATTGGGCAAGTTATTATTTTAATAAGAAATTATTAAAATCTGGCCTAAATTGAAAATATAAATTAATTATGCAAAATAATTAATTCAATTTAAAATTCATTTAACAAATGAATACCTTAATATTCTAATCAAAATGAATTGTTGTTAATTCATCTAATATAAGAATATATGTGTCTAATTATTTGTATTAATACTCTATTCTCGTTTAGCAGTTCCTAAACCAAAACTATTAATTATATTAGGTTCTACGTCATTTTGACCCGAACCGTCTATCGTACGACACACGCATTTCGTTTTGGGACTAATGTGAGTAATCTACCCCATACTTTATAATTTTCAATACTTTTGGGGTGTATCATGTGGTTCTAATATGTTCCAACTTCATTTTATTGTTTTATCACAATTGAGACATTGTTGGGACATTTATACGTGAGTCATTAATTGTATAACTATTGTTTGTTTACGCTACATGTACTTGTAGTGCATTACCATTTTTAGTCTAATCTCCATGACTATGCCCGTATTCTTGAGGTACGTTATGGACAATAATAGCGCTATTGGGTTGACCACCCCGCCTTGGGACGCTAAGGTGATTGATCGCACGTGGTTGAGTGTGTTTGATGATTAGATGCTCCATCCTATATATATATATTATATATATATATATATATATATATATATATATATATATATATATATATATATATATATAGGGTGATGACTTATTGTTGTTGTTATCATTTGTTAATCAATTTTTGATTTATAAACCGTTATCTCAAATACAATTGTTTGCCGACTTTAAAAGAAAACAAATTTCAAATTATAAATGTTTCAACTTCACAATTTTCTCTACTAAAATTAGATTACTCACCAACTCTCGTAGTTGACCTGTTTTTACCCATGATGCAGATTTGAAGAATGAAGTTGATGAAAAATAGGTTGTGCCTTAGAAATCCACAAGACTATTTAAATTTGATGTAATAAATGTTGTTCGTATTTGGATTTGTATTTGTATGTTGTGGATCTTGTTTGCATACTTAGTACTTAATTGAATCTAATCATATTATAACATAGTTGTCATGAGACTTTGAACAATATATCACGCCTTGATCGATTCCGACAAGGATCGGGGTGTAACATCGGGTATGTTTGATCTATCTTAATAAACAAACTATATATATATATATATATATATATATATATATATATATATACACACACACATAGCACATATTTTATAAAATACTTCATATCTATGGGTAAGATGAAAGTGACTATACACTCACCTGATAAGACGATGATCGGACAGCACTGCGGCTCCTCAAGTAGTATTCTTCGATGAAATCGGGATATCTTCACACACCGGGCTTCTCGCGGGCAGAGCTTCGGCTCGAAAACTCTTTTCTTCTCGGGATCTTCGGTGCTTCGGGACTCGCTTCGGGTGTCGAGATGATATCGGGGCTCTGGGGGTACTTCAACACAGCTAGAGAGGGTATCGGGAGTGAGAGAGTAAGAAAGTAGCAACCAAAATCGACTGCCCTTCGATTTCTATTTATAGGGCTGATTTTCTGGATTCACGTCGTGAATCTAAAAAATTCACGTCGTGAGTTTAGTCAGGCATAGGTCATTGCGTTCGTCATCAGTCCACTTGCTCTGGAAGGCGTCCAACATCTGTTCACGTCGTGAACAATGTGTTCACGTCGTGAGCTCTGACACAGTGTCGGGGTTCGTGCCCTGAACTTCAGAAATTCATATCTTTCGCATACAAGCTTCGTTTTCGACATTCTTTATATGCACGCGTAGGTGAGATTATGCTCTACAACTCTCGTTAAGACTCCATCGGCTAATTACTTAACTTTTGCTATATTATTTTTTGTAGGCCGGGACAGGAAAACTCCGTTAGGAATTCACAACTCCTTCATCTGACATTCGTTTTCGTCTGTCTTTTTACTGTTGGACTACTATCGACGAGATCTTCGATTCTCATTTAGATTGTTTCGGCTAGAAATCACTCGATCTCATATTTGAACTTTGGGCTGCATACCGCTAAGTCGAAACTTCGAAAAATCATAACTTCCTCATACGAAGTCAGATTTAGACGTTCTTTTTATGCACACTCTCGGTTTAACGCATTCTACGACTTTTGTTTAGATAGCTAAGGCCAAATATCACTCTATCGTAAATTCACTATTTACGTCGCGCAGTGTCGTGCCGGTTATGTCGTGAAACTTCGACATGTCATAACTTCTTCGTTATAACTCGGATTTCAGTATTCTTTATATATCCAGAATCCATGTCATGACCACTACAACTTCCTTCATAGATATCGGCTTATCTAATATTTATTTTTAACGCTTATTTTTATCCTTAATCATAATAATTAAGTTTAAAGCACATAATTCATTCTTATTTCTTCAAAACGAGTTCTAATGGTTGACCTAGACTATTATATCGTCATTAATGTATAGCCCAGAAATACGGGCGTTACAGTAAAGATTCTGCATTTTTTTAAATAAAAAGATTATAACAATAATATTCATGTACCTTGGTCGCTATGCTCCTATTTGCATTATCATTTATCAAACTCATCATCTAATCTAGGGTTTAATTGCAACAATCAATTATACAAGTTATGTATAATCATTTGCATTATCATTTTCAGGTGAATCGGTTATTAAGTTAGCACTTGAGGTCTTTTCAAGTTCTGTATGGTCACTTGAATCAATTACAGGGCGCACTGGACTTGAGATGATCATTGAACCAACACCAAAATTGTTTGATGGTGTTTTACCAGTGATGGATATTGTTATTTCTGAAGTAGCATCCTGCAAAAATTAGATGACATCAGGATCACATTCTAAGAGAACAGATAAGTGATGTACAAAAAGTAACCTTTTTCTTACTTTTGAGAGATTAAATTTTGATGACTTCTTCCCAAAAAACACAGTCTTGATCCACTTTCCAGGAGACTTCCCCATTCTTGACTAATAGAAATATTACAGCTCTAAATTCTCTGCATTATCCCAAAAACAAACTCTCAATGAAGCTACAGGAAATGAAACATAAAACACAACCAAAACTGTGAAATGTTAATAACATCATTCCTACATACATTGACTTGAAATTTGAATTTAATCATCCCAAAGGGGCCACTGTTTGAATCCAATTTCATTAGTGTTTGAAATAACACAATATCGTCACGTCAACAAGATGAAATTTAAATACTTGCTTCTCCAATTCCATTCCAGACTTTACAATTACAATTCCAATCACTAAATCCAACCTATCAAACCATATCTGTCAGCAACATTATACATTACCAGTTCATCCCATGTATGCCCAAAAAGACGTTCACCTCCGATGGTGAAGGTGAGGGCCCACGAAGCTAGCATGGCTGAAAATATCGTCACTCCTATTGCTGATCCTACCACATCTACACAATCAACAAAACTAGTTTTTACTTTCTAACATAAATTTCAAATCTTCTAACCATTCAATTTCCCAGTAAACATGGAAGTGTTTATGAAAATATACTTCATTTTTTACCCTAGAAAAGCACAAAACATGTAAACTGCAACATATGTCCCAAAGAAAGAGCTGAATTTTGATGTTTTAGATGTCAAACCTAGTTAGCATTCAGTAGCAAAACCGATTGCAGATGAAGTATAACAATTTCTTAAGATACATTTTCAAATTCAAAATGTAAATCTGGAATAGAGATAGATGGCCTGACAATTTTGTGCCATTGCAGACGATGAAGGTGAAGATGGAGAATTAGAGAAAAGATTTGTCAGCTTGTCACGAGTACCTAGTTGATCCACCACCGAATGATTTAGGCTTTCGATGAACACTTCTGCAATCGAAGATGAACACGACTGGAATCGATCTCTTGGATCGTGGATTATTCATCGATGATTTGGAGATGAATGGCGGTGGATTTGTACTAGTTGCAGAGGTAGAGGTGGTCGATCAAGAGAGGAGGGACGGAGACGGAAGACGGTGAAGAAAATGACGTGAAAGAGGGGGGGAGAGAGAGAGACGTAAATAAGAGGTGTAATCAGGGAATTAAGATAATTCCTAAAATGTCCTTGATTCATTTCAATTTCTTTACCCCCGTGTCTTATTTTCCTTAATTATTTACAAAAATGCCACAGATCATCTTGACCCTTTTTTATTTTGATCTAACGGTCCTTGTTTGGTTCTCGAGTTCTCGGGAAACTATAGGTTCTCAAATGATCCTTCCTCTCTCTCTCTCTCTCTCTCTCTCTATATATATATATATATATATATATATATATATATATATATATATATATATATAGTAAAAGATCAAATGAGAACTACTAAAAGTTAAGAACCCTAAGAACCACTAATTTTAACTAATCAGATCTAGTTCTCATTTTTCACCAGAACAAAACATAAAGTTCTACCACCACTTTCTTTCTCCTTTACTTCTCACCTTGCATACCACCACCGTCAGCCACCACCGGCCACCGTTGGTTATCAGCCCGACCACCACCTCCTCCCTCCCCGTCGATGTCTCTCCCTTCTCCCTTCATTTATAGTTGTTCAGCTTTAGTTATTTCTCTTTGATGTGTATGAAAACCAACAGATCTGGTCAACTATCACCACCATAAACCTTTGACGAGTTTCCTTCAAAACTCCAGCGCATCAGATCTGTTACACGTCCGCCGCCTCCGCCGGTGGCACATGACAAAACAACTTTGTACCTGATGTAAACTTGATGTATTTCAGGTTAGATCTGCATCGTCCTCCTCCGCTCCTTACTGTCTTCATCTAACGAGCATCATCGACCACTGCTACTTTATTGGCGACGAGGCTTTTAGATCTGAAGTGTTTAGGTCAAGATCTATGTTCTCCTATGATAGATCTACGATATCTGGTGGCAGATCTATGATTTTCACCTCTAGATCTATGAGTTTCAGTGACATTGAGTGACCAGATCGAAAATCTCCGTCAATCTCCATCGTCGTTGTTGCTTTTCTGCTAACTAGTCACCTCTATATATTTGCTTTTCTTAAGCTGTGAATTTAAGGTTTTAATATCTCATTTATAGTATACTTGTCTTAATATTAGTTTTAAGAACTATTAAGTTGTGAATCTAAGTTTGTTTTTTATTTGTTATAATATTTTTATAATATTGTTATTCACATTTTATGCTTTAGTGTTATTACGTTGTGAATTGAACTTAAAATGTGTGTTATTATGTTAGTGTTTTCTAAAAAATGTGTATTTAGTTTTTTTTTTAACTGTGAATTGTGATGTTTTAATGTTCAAATTACTGTTTTATTTTACTAAAGTTAGTTTTGACTGTTATTAATAAGAAAATATATCTTTTAAGTTGTAAATGCATAATTTTATAAGTTTTAAGTTGTGAATCCAAGTTTTTTTTTTCTTATTTGTTATAATATTTTAGTAGAATTATTGTTCATGATTTAGGTTTTTTTGGTTGTTATGTTGTGAATTGTATTTAGAATATGTTATTATGTAGATGTTTTCTCAAATAATGTGAATTTATGTTTTTTTTAGGTTGTGATTTATGATGTTTAAATGTTTCATAAATTCTTTAGTTATATTAATGTTAGTTTTAACTATTATTAATAAGAAACTATAAGTTTTATTTTATGAATGCAAGACTTTTTATTAATTTTAATATGGGAATACATGATTTTTTATAAGTTTTAAGTTGGTTTTTAAATCTGTCAGAATATAGTTTTATAAAGCATACAAGATGTTTGATTAAACTGTGAATAAAAGTAATGAAATGCTTTATTAAACAGTGAATTTTTATGGTGCACACAAGGTGTTTGATGAAAATGTTTCGACAAATCAAGTATGTTTTTAAGGTGTGGATACTATGAATGAAAGTCCTAAAATGTTTTATTAAACTGTGAATGAAATTATTGCAATGTAAGTTTTAAGTGTAGAATATGGGTTTTGAATGTAACTTTTTTTTTAAACAGTGAATTGACTATATTAAGTTGTGTATTTTATGTATTAAACTATGAATTAAATTTATTAAGTTGTGAATTGAATATATTAAACTGTTAATTGAATGTATTAAGAAGTGCATGGACTATATTAAGTTCTTAACTATATATATATATATATATATATATATATATATATATATATATATATATATATATATATATATATATATATTGCTTCTGAAATATGAGACAAAAGACATTATACACAAATATGATTTTATCTAATTTTGAATAAAATATGTAAAATATAAAATGTGAATATTTATGTAAATAAACTTTGAAATAAGCACTAGTCTATAGATCTTAAGGTATAAATATAAGTTTTAAGTTTAGGATATGGTTGTGAAGACTTAGGTTATTCTATTTAAACTAATTATTGTGTTATTGTATGCATAAATGTGGACCAATCATTTTACTTATTTTAAGAAAATGATTAATACATATTATTAAATTAAAGATAATTGAAAAATACCATCTAATTTCATTCTAATGGTATTTTTAGACAATTGAGATAAATTTAAAAAAGAAAAATTCCATATTTTTTAGGATAATTAACTCTCTTGATTTTAAAATCCTAATTTTTTTAATTACTTTAATTTTAATTATAACGTAATTTTTATAATTAAACACGATTTGATTCTGTTAGAATGTCATTATGTTAGAATCATATTCTCTAGGAATTTCAGGATATATATTTCTATTAGAATGATATTCTATTATAATGCCAACACCGACTAATAACAAATTTTTGGATACAACTTCAAATTTTTCATTACATTCTTAAAAATGTAAAAATTTTATATAATAGTCTATGACAATGAAATACTCACTAATAACAAACAAAACCATGTATATTATTCGACCAGAATATTCTAGCAGAATATATTATTACATATACTCCTATCATTCTATTGTAGGTTATTCTATCAGAAGAATAGCTCTTTCCTTTGTGAAGACCAGTGACAATTGTTCAGCCATCATCTAATCTTCAAGCCCTTGATCATCATTGAAATTAGACATTTTACCAAAATAACTGCCATGAATCAAATCATGTAATAATAATATTCTCTGAGAATGCTTTTTCATGGCAAATAAATAACACAAAATTTTAGTAAATCTGACAGAATGAATACCACATGGTATGGTCAGATTATTTTTCAGGAACTTCCACAAACACCTGTCATGCATCATCATAAGCTCTATGACAAATTTCACCAAAAGATTGTTAATTTGCAAATTCTAACAGACCTGAAGTGAAAATAACATGAATTGCAAGTATATAAGCTACCTTGCTTCTATGATTCAATAGTAGGCTACAAATCAGTATATATTAAAGGTGATGTGTACACATCAATTCAGTGAATGTTTTATTGAGAAGATTAGGAATGCAAATACACATATACCCTCGTAGTACCATGTCTTGAATTGATAAATGATAACCATGAGGCATATCTATCTTGACATATGGACTCCCATACCCTGTGTACCTTTAGGATTTTGACGAAGGAGTGAAAATTAGAAACACAAAAACAAAGATGATGACTTCTAGCAAGGATCTGTGGGTCTGCGACAACATATTTCAAATGAGTGGAGATTTATACCAATTTTGAAATCGGAAGTAGATATTTGACAGCAAAAGTCAATTGAATCCACTAATTAAACAGGGATTTATATCATGAATCCGATGAGAATCGACATACCGATCATCAATTTCAATGGAAATTAAATCAGTAAACTGACATAAAAGGGAAAGCGATGAATTACGAGTTCGCTGAAGCACCAAAGGTAGGGTTTTCTCTAAGGGGCTGAAACGAGAATTGACCAAGAAACCTCGCAACACACTTGCCATAGATACGCGAACGAGTTCGCTGAACCAACTGCCGCCTCTTCATCTCTTCGATTGAACCACCCACCTCTCTTCCCTTCACACACTATGCCGGAACCGAGAGAGAAGCAGCCGATAGCTGAAGATCTGCACCTAGTAACCTGCAACAGAGGGTAGGTTCGGGATTTGAGATTCTTCCGGTTGACTTTGCCAAATCGAATGAAATTTCATCGAGTGTTGACTCTAGCCCATGTACACGAGACTCCAATGATCGCATCCCATTTGGTGAGCTCCCAATATATTTCTGTAATTTATGTAAGAGCAACAGAGATATGAGAAAGAATTGGTTGGGTTAATCTAAAGTAACAACGAAATTGAAATTACCTCGAGGAGATCGAATAAATTGGACTGTTTGGCTTCGATTTGAAGAAGCTGATTGCGGATCATAGATAAGTCTTCAGATTCTTGTTGGATTGAATCGATACTGGAGCTGCCAATGATCTCTGCAACTTTGGAGCTTGACCTTTCTTCACCTTTCATATGATCTTTGATTGATTTTAAAAGGTCGATGTTTTTGTCTAGGGTTTTAAAGGGTAAATATAAACGATTTTGCCTAAATTAAAGGGTTTATGATTTGAATAATTAATTACTAAAATTAATTAAAAGCTAAGATTACAATTTTACCCCTATCTAGGTTTTTAAAATGATTGGTCCACATTTATGTATACAATAACACAATAATTACTTTAAACACCTGAACCTATCTCTGGTTGTGAAAGTATAATTTTTGTGTATTAAACAATGAAATTATTATATTAAGTTGTGAATTTTTTGTAATAAATTATGAATTGACTGTTTTAAGCTGTGAATTTTTAATGAATTTTGTGTTAAAATATGAATGATTTATATAAGTATGTTTATATTGATTTTCTTATGAATATGTTTTTTTTTTGTGTTGTATAAATATGTAAAAATGTATTAGTTTTTATAATTATTTTGCATTAAACTCAAAATTAGTGAATTATATGGTTTATTAAACTGTGAATATGATATTTATGCTGTGAATCTATAATTTTACATATAGATCTGATTTAAAATGAATAATGGATGCGATGGTGGCACGATTGGTTGCCGGTGGCATGTGGTAGTTGGTGGTGTTAAAGTTTTCATTTGATTTATCTGAATATGTATATTCGTGTATAATGAATTCTATTAATTTGTGAATTTTATGTATTAAATTGAGAATGGTCTGTATTAATGTATTTTATATAAATTTGGTTTTAAAATATGAATAATGTATGCATGAAAATAATAGACTTTGAATTAGTGAAATAATATGTTTATTAAACTGTGAATATGATATTTTGATGAGAGAAAATACAAATTGTCAAGACATAATTTTATTTTTTTTTTCATTAAATTTTATATATTTGGCTCAAAAATAAAATTGTATGTGTTAAAAGGTATTATCAAAGAAATATGAGTCATAATGTTTCTTCTATTAAGCTGTGAATACGGCCAGAAAAATGCCATTAAACTTGGTGTTACTCCTGCGGCCGTCCGACGTTGGTCTGGTGGTGGTCCGATGGCGGTCCGACGGTGGTCCAAACGACAAGTGGCAACTACTGTAAACTAGGGAATGAAAAAGATTGCTTAAAATAATATTAATGTTTGATTTGTCTAAAATACCTTTAATGAAAACATTTTAAAAACTGGTTCT